TTTTTTTTTTTTTTTTTTTTTTTTTTTTTTTTTTTTTTTTTTTTTTTCTTTCTTCATCAATATTTCTCGCGTCAAACGTAATTTGAAAACCCCTCGCAGGTTTTATCACAAAAATCGCTCTATCGATTTCACGAGAGAGACGGAGAGAGAAGAGTTTATTCAAGGAATCATCTTCTCCGGTAAGCAGGAAACTTTAATTATTCAAGCGATTGTAACCGAGTTGAGCTGTATATATAACTCTCCGCCCCTCTCGAGAACATCGCGTGCATAAATAACGTCGCGCCCAACGAAATCAAATCTGGAAGTTGTTAAAAAAAAAAAAAAAATTGACACTCACGTCGTAGTTGGCCTCGTCGGCCAGGGATTGTGCAATCGGCGTTGGTATGACGACGCGCAGGTTACCCCGATGGGGATGAGGCGGCGGTGGCGGCTGAGGCGAGTGCCTCGACGGATTACCTTTTGAGACGGGCACACCTAGGGCAGGCGATGGCCCAGGACTCGGTGAGCCCCCCAACGGCGAACCCGGGGTGTACCCGTTGCTCATCTCCAGCATCCCTCCAGGCGGGTAAACTGTAACCACATGTACACGCAATCGTTATAACGAAACTTTCATTCGGTGTGTACGCATCAATTGGCCGTTGGGCACTCACCTGAATCTGTTTCAGAGGACGAGGGTCGCGGGGAGATGCTGGCGTGGGCCATCTGCGGACTAGAGCCGAGCATTTGTTCCCCGTAATTGTTGACCGGCACAGTCACGGGCAGCGTGTAATTGGACTGTCCCATCTGGTGGAACGGAGGTATTGGATTTAAACAAAAGTTGTTGGAAGGGGGGAAAAAAAAAAAAAGATAGGGGGGTCCCCCGTGTCCAGAGTCTCCAATTAAAAAAAAAAAAAAAAAAAAAAAAAAAAAAAAAAAAAAAAAAAAAAACACGGAATACAATACAGAAAACAAGGCATTCAATACAAGTTAAAGATGGATAATATAGTTGTGTAATTAAAAAGAGAAGAAAAAATTAGACACGACTTAAGTGACTAGATCGAGTATGCACAAAATGTTGATATCGGTTTGAATGGCAATTAAACATTATTACGTTGTAGTATCAAAAAATGTATGAAAAGAAAAAAAAGTTCTACACAAAAAAATGGTCGCGTTGCCTCGTGTGTCTATTTACGCACGTAAACAAGCATTTACGCGATACATGTGTGTGGTTGATATTAACGGATTATGCTGCTATCTTTATTTTTTTTAATTTTCATTAAAAAAAAAAAAAAGACCACCATACCAAGCACAACAACACAACAATTCGCGCGTCGCAGGTGCGTGCACTTTTTTCACCGATTCTCCATAAAAAAATTAGTTCCTTCACTATAGTCGAGCGCACTTGATTTGTTTATTAAAAATTTTTCATATTTGTGCATTGTCTCTAATAACACTTGTTTTAAAGCCATTCGCTCGCTCACTATCTTCATTATACTCTCTCGTGTATACGCAGGTGGCGGTACGATATTTTTCAATATCATTATTTAGTGAATTATAATCCTGCCTATATATCTTTTCTTTCTTTTTTTTTTTTTTTTTTTTTTTTTTTTTTTTTTTTTTTTTTTTTTTTTTTTTTTTTT